CAGGGTGGCCAGATGGAAAATTTCAAAATCAGAAAAAATAATTCAAAAATCAGAAAATTGGCAGAAAAAAGATTCATTGAAATCAGAAGAAAATCAGAAAGTGTGTTCAACGTGAAATATCAGCACTGATGTTTCCTATATCATTCGGATCGGTCGAAAAATGCGGATCTGTTTCAATTACTTCCGTAACCGACGACTAGCCACGGTTATTTTCTTTGTTCTCACGATTTTCCAGGGTAAAACTCGATGGTTAATCTTAGTCAAGCTCCTAGTTAACCGGATTAGTAATCGGTAAATTGTCAGCTGATCACTAAGTGATCTGATTCACTGAGAGGTTAACAGTGGGTTTTTACACTGGAAAATCGTGGGAACAAAGAAAATAACCACGGTCAAGCGACGGTTATGACAATAACCGAAATAAGCCGTCGTTTTTCACTCAGTACTCCGGGCATGGGTTGGTCTAATATAGAACCTATTTTTCGGATTCAATATGTTTACTGTTGCGTACTAGAAAGAACTAGTCACGATCTTGAAAGTCGAAACTAAGCAACCATTAAAAGAGAATGCCGGTCTGTCCGTTATTACAACTCTTTGGTTCGTTGTTTTTGGCCAGTCATGACTGGAAGAGATGATATCTATAGAAATAATTGCACAGATGAAGTCAACTTGTTAGCAATTTAATAATGAAGCCAAGAGTTTCAAACCAATTGATTCCTGTATTCACTCCATTACAGAGACGAGAGGTTGAACAAAATAGTTAATTATCCTCCATTTCTGATTTCGGCATTTTCTCGTCGTTCTGAAGTAGTTAAAAACCTAGTTTTATGGATTTTGTTACTTCAAACTACAAAAATTAATAACATAGAGACAGAACTAACATTTACTAAAAAATCAAATATATTTCAAAAGACTGAACAAAAACTTTTTGTTTTGAGTTTAACCTGCATGTATCCAGAAAAAAACACTGCCTCAACTGGAGCTATAACTATTAGTAAATAGAATAAATGACATGCTAGGTTACTCAAAATGAGGAATTAGAAAGTGGAAATTATAAATGATTATATTACAATATCGACATTTTCTTTCTTGAAGAACTACACATTTTACTCGCAAACTAATGCTTTTGCTTACTATGATACACCATTAATCAACTAGTCGATGCAAAGAGCTGTAGGAAAAATCAACTAAAGATTAAATACAAAAAAGGCAACTAAACATGACTAAGCTTCGAAACTTCATTGTGGCGTCAGATCAGATTCTCAACTCGTACAGGACAATTAAAATAAAAACCTTCAAAATCAGAAAGCAGAAAACCATCAGAAAAGATGCTGAAAATCAGAGAATTTCTGAAAAATCAGAAGATCTGGCCACCCTGGGATTAAAGTACAGTTTGATCAGGTACTGTGCCCTAAAATCTCCAATAAATAGAATTCGAAAATTTTTCACCCGACGGAATCTATTGTAAGTTGAAATTAGCACTATTCAAATTGACTTTCTTTTAATAAATTATGATTAAAAGAGAAACTCTTGAAAAATAGGAGATAATAGAACTCGTTTTAAATTCATAGAAAATATAGGGCGACCGCAAACTTAATGAAATAAGCGTTAAATTGAAATGTCTAGATTGTTGATGTATTACTATCATGAATAATGGAATATAAATTATTACAAAATATAGATCATTTTATTATCATATATAGAGAACAAATAAGTGAACAAATTTTTTGAATACATATCTTTTCGACAACAGAGAAAAAAATAAATGAATAGATATCTGATGAAAGAGATCTATTTAATGAGAATTGCCATTTTGAACATGTGAAAATCCACCACTACTACCAAATCCATTTGAACCACGTACAGTTTCATCGAGTTTCTAGAAAATAAGAATCGAAAAATAAAATAATGAAAGACAACAATAATCAAAATACAAACTTCTTCCTCGACCAATTCAGCCATTTCGATCTTTTCACAAATTAGCTGTGCAATACGATCACCTCGTTTAACTAAAATTAAATAAAATATAAATTAATTCATAATAATAAAACTATCAAGTTTTACTAGTAAAATCTGAATCATTGTGATTAAATAATACGACACCAACATTACCACGATAATCTGCATCGATAACACCAGCTATTTCAAGAAAGTAATATTCAAAAAAAAGAAATTAAAGATTTCATTAAAACAATACCTCCGGTATCAATACCGAATTTAGCAGCTAGACCAGATCGTGGAGCTAAAAGAAAAAATACAATGATCATATTCTTTTCCAATTCATTAAACAAAATGAAAAGTCTCTTTTAGATTTATGAAAAACTTTTACTAACCAACTCGACCATAACAGCCATCAGGTACAGCAATTTGAATATCGGTTTGAGCTGTTATTTTTCCTCGTGCTGGTAATATATAATCATAAGCACTAAAAAAAAAAATTAGATAAGTTTCTTTTCAAATGAAGTAAAAGAAAATTTCAAGATTACCTTCGAAGATCCCAACCGGCTGCATAAGCTGAACCTTTCATTGGTGGAAATGCATATTCACTAAGTTTAGCAAATCGTAATATAGTTTTTGGTGATGTCATTTGCAATCTAAAATAAGAAAAACATTAAAATATTTTGGAACGACGTTATACGAATGAAGGATTGTAAAAGAAACCGGGATAAATAGTAAGAAAATATGAATAATTTTTAAATAGATTTCTCCATTATAAGAAAATCGAAAGAATCTATAACAAAGGAAACAAAGATAGAAGAAAGACGAAACGCAATAAAGAGAAACGAAGATGGCTTGGCTATATACTGACTAACCGACGAAGGAGAGTATACACATATAGGTGATGGACGATTAGTTATATGTTATTACATGAACCAACAGACGACCTATATATATATCTAATCGTCGAAAAAGAGAAAAAATATATAAATGAGAAAATAGTTGAATTCATTCGCAGTAAGAATAAGAAGAGAACGAAAAAGAAACTAAGAAAGGAATAGAAAAGAAAGAAATTGTAAGAACGAATCCAATAATAGAAGCGTTTAATACAAAAAAATATAAAAATTATTCATTTAAATTTCTTCAAGTTCTTCAACTTCAAAACGATTATTTTTGCTCCATTGTTGAAATTCTATATAAGGTGGTTGTTTGTCAATTTTAAATTTTATTTGTTTACATTTAAGTGCACATAGTGTACCTAATTCAGGTCGATCAATAAATTTTTGACATCCACCAAGAGAATTTCCACAAGTACATTTAACTTCTCCTAAAATAATACGTAAAAGAATATTCATGAAATCATAAATAAAGTGAAAAGTATTTACCCATAATTAAATTTTCTTGAAAATTTTCATATATACTATCAAGTTTACATTCATTATTGTCGAAAAATTCTGGATTATTTATAAAATAAATTGTATTTCGTTTTTTTAACCATGCAAGTTCTCCTAATTCTCGATTACATTTACGACAACATATTGAACCATTCTTTTTACCGATTTTTTGTAGCATAGCTTTTTGTTGCATTTCAACTCTTAAAGCATTTTCCCAATCATTAATAAGTGAATTCTATAAAGAAAATAATTCATATAAATATTATTAAATCTTATTTATTTACAGTTTTAATTTCAACAGCACGTTGAAATAGATCTTTATCAAGTGTTCGCCATCGATCAATAGCTTCTTCCATTTCTTCTTCACGAAATTTATTTTTCTTCTCTCTTTTATGATTCATTGAATCACATTCAGTTATAAGATAATAAGAACTATTTTGTGCTCTTGCTCGACCTCGTGATTGAATTGTACCAATTTCATCCGATACAAATTCATAACGAATAACATAAGAACATGTCGGAATATCTAAACCTTCTTGAACAATATCTAAATAAGAAATGATAGATATACATCCATTTGTTGTATAGATGGTGGACATGTTGTTTCGTCAGATATAAACAGAGACAACAACTGAATTACATGGGTCATTATTCAAGCTTAAAGTCGACTATAACATTTTTTTTACCATAGAATAGAATTTATGTAGACTTGTTGAGAAAGACTTTCACTATTAAATGGTCTATGCATTATTAGGTTCTATTGCGTATGGTTCACATGTCATTAGGTTCCATCCTCATTTAAAGTGGCTGCGGCAAAGGTGGTGCTATCTATCAACGTGTTAAGAATATGCCGTTGAATTTGATAATGCAGACACTATTAGATAAAAAAAGGCTTTTTCTAGAAGCCTACATATATTCTTTTCTCTAATCAAGAATGATCGAAAAACTTATAGCCGTCTTTATAGACAGAAGCGTTGATTAATGCTCATATTTCAGTCCAATAAACTGAATTGCGTAAAGTAAAGTGAACATAAGAGTGTGGAAAAGCAAAATGATGCAATCTTTGATTCTCTTGGAGAAGAAAATAATACTATTGTTAACATTAGTGAAAAGACTTGAAATTGATTATAAAAGAAGTATATCTGCTATGTCATTGACTAAAATAGATGACTATCTATTTCAACATATATACTACTTTCACTGTTCTAATAAATACCATTTTATATTTATAACTTACCGGTAGCAATGAGTACATTACATTCATCTAAAATATTTAACGAAGTCAGATAAACGAAAAGAAAAATAAAGGAAAACAAACCTCCTTGAAATTGTCTCAATCTTGCTTCTTGTTCATGTATTGTCAAAGCATGATCCGAACTAGTTTGACCAACAATCCAAGTTGTTTTAATAATATCCTAAAAGAAGAATTATCTTAATAGGAAATCAATAACCTTATTGTCTGACTTTTAATTTTGGATGATGACGCAAGTAATCACAAAGTGATTTTGCATAAAAAGTTGTTTGTACCAAAATAAGTCCTAATCACAATTAAAATACAATGATTAGAAGAAAAAAAAAACGATTCGCATGTAAAAATATTCACCTTTTGTATTTTCAGTAGCATGTTGTTCAAGAAGATGAACTAATGTATCTAATTTTGAATTTGTTGTTGGATGTTCCATACATTTATTTAAGATTTTATCCAATTCCATTTTACAACGTTCATAAAATAAATTATTCATTGGTATAGATTGTTGATGTCCTTTATGATATTCTTCAATTTTCTGTAATATATATTGTATAACCATATCAAATGGTAAATTTTTCAATGCTAAATACTTTTTTGTTAATAATGATAAATAATCACACATAATAATATTATTCATATCACCTTTTTTTTCAAAGGTTTGTTTTAAAAGAACAAGTTGACCAATAAATCCCGAAGAACCAATATCCTGTTCATCTAACAATTCTTTACCGTCCAAGTGAAGTTTAATATTTTTAATAAGATCTTGAAATAGTTTTAAATATTCATCAAAATATGAATTATAGTATACTTTTGAAACATATTGAAATTGATCATTTGTTGGTCGACATATTTCACGATTGATTTCATCGATATTATCTTTATCACATACAGTTGATATATTTTTACAAGCAAGTTTACTACATAAACTAATAAGATTTTTTTCAATTGATTCTTGTTTTTCATTAGTATCTTTAGCACTAATTGTTGCTGTTAAACCAATAATTAATAGTTTTTCTGTAGTGTTTTGTTGTTTAGATGGACATGAATAATATTTCATTATTTGACAATAAGGATTTCCACCTGATGTATTATGACATTCATCAAAAATCATTAAATGAATTTGAGATAAACGAATAGTTTCTTTATTTAAACAATTAACAAATTTTTGTGGTGTTGCAACAATAACATGATTTACACCAATAAGTTGATCAATTGTTTGATCATCTTCACAAATTTGTACTCGTAAATTATTAACATCTAAAATTGCATTTGCTTGTTGTAATCGTATGGCTTTTCTTGGTACAAAGAATAGACAGGAAAATTTTTTATCGGAATTTGTTTTTTGATGTTTTATAAAATAATATTTTATTAAGATCGATGCAATGAATGTCTTTCCAGAACCAGTCCGAAGACAAACAATAGTATTACCATTACGAATAGCATTTCGTATGATTTCAATTTGATAATTTCGAGGATGAAATTTTAAATTGAGTAATTTTGAATATTCTTCAGTCCATGGATGAGAAGAGTCTTCGAATGGTTCTAAATTTATACTATTAAAGTCCATTGGATCTGGTTCGCGTGCATTGAATTTAATTGATACCTTATCTGTCTCTGCTAAAAAAAAGAATAATTGGAGATTATTTTTATACAGTAGTGAACAAAAATCTTCGCCAAAGCCTATCCTTATTCCTGCATGCACTGGAGGTCTGTACTCGTACTTTACCAAGAATGTCGGTCATTAGCATTACAGTGCTATTATTATTTAATTACAAAGGGAATTATAATAGATGGCATCCGTTTTTGTTGTCAATCTCATAATCTTGAAAAGAAACAGTATTCTGCGTTAGCTGAATAGGGAGCTATGAGTCCACAGTTTTGTACACCCAGGTTCGAAATTTTTTTCCATGAATATCTGGCATCTTCGGTTTACATGAACAATTGAAGGATCAAGGTTTGAGCTATTTAATGTCTATTCTCAAAAAAAAATTTAAACGTATAGATATTTCTTGTTCTTCACATTTCCATCGCTCAATGCTTTATTAATTAATAGTTTTCGCTTAGTTCAAAAGAGCATTATCTTAACAAAAGAAAGATATTGAACAGTTGAATGACAAACAAAATTCGTTCAATCAACACTAACGCTAAACTATTCATCTTTATGGAATAATCTTAGTTGTATTTATAGAAACGAGTACAAGCAAGAATAGGTTCTATGCAATCAATGTGGATATCTACTCATTTATAAATCATTTTCTGGAACTAGTTCACTATCTAAGCAAATTTTAATTATCAAAATAAAAGAAAAACAAATATCAGTTTTCAATGCTCAAAAAAGTATCAATCAGTTTTATACATCTTCAAAAACTGAACCAACTATTCCAAGTCGAATTAAGCAAGCAAACTCAAGTGTTTTGTGTTGAATGTATAGCATTTGACTGTTGATCATTCAAAATAAGTAATAATATCAATTTTTAAAATCTTTCAAAAAAGATTTTTTTTATATCGGTTGATACTTATATGGAGCTTCGGATCCATGTTTTGTGGGCCGAACCGACAGTCGACTCTTCTATATGCAAAGTTATGTCCCAGCTATCTACATTACTACTTTCTTTAGAGTATCTCAATCATTCCAAAGGCTATACTCAATTTATTGTGATCATTGTTGTGGGTAGAAACCTTCTACCATACTCTGGGCGGCAATAATTCAGTAATAGTTGAATGAAACGAATTCAAAATTGTTGTGAAGATTCCTCTACCGTTAGACATTATTACATGCAAGTTTCAGCAGTGAATCTTGTACTAAAAAAAAGTGGAACTTAGATAATCATCTTGTCAATTCCAAGGATGGAAAAACATCAATATTTGAGCAAATGAACTCATGTTTTGAATGAAGAAAGATCGTAGACGAAACTTCAGCTACACGTAAAACCATTACGTATTCGTAATGTTTTTAATAAGAAACAACGTAAAATTCGTGAGCAGTTTTTTTTCAAATAATTATGCTCCAATGACCTACGTTCTTGGTGAACAGCGTATACAGAAATTTAAAACTTTTAGCACATATAGTGGCTAAAATCGACTGGGACGCACGTGTCTGTCTACTACTGTAATAATCTTACGTGGAAGATGCATAATATCATCTTCAGCAAGATCGTCAAGAATATCTTGATTAGTAGGTCTTTCTGATTTGTTTATTGGTGGTAATCCGAGTATCATTGTAGCTTGGTTCCGCTGTTCTTCCTCTGGTAGAGTTGGTATGATTTCAGCAGGTACCAGTTTTTGATAACCTAAAAAATGTATTATTTGATTTAAACTGTATTAAATAGAGTCTAATATTTTACTAAGCAAACGATCAACACAATCATGACGTTCAATAGCTTGTAGTCCTCGGATCAGATAAGTGTTGTTATATCTTGAAATCTTTGCACGATCGAAAAGTGTTTGTAATGCGTCGAGTGCATCTTCTAGCGAGCCACCATCTTGCAAACGACGTGGAATATCTTTACTGAATAAAAAATGCAGTTGTTTACGGTCTGTATCAGACAACGAATTTTGAATTTTGAGTAAAACTACTCGAAATTCGAAATCTTCATCCATTTGATCCATAACTAGTCTTAAAATATATATAAACTGATTATTAAAATTTTTATTCATGTTTCTTTTAAGAAAGAGGATATTCTAATAAATTAAAATGCTTCGATTGATAAACAATGTTACTTAGAACAGTAAATAACAATTACGCGATTTCTTTCAAATTTCAATAGAAATATTAATGAGTTAACAAAAAAGAATTTGCCAGGTTCAGGAAAAGGGTATCATAAGCAGTACGTAGTGAAAAATTAGCCCGTGAAATAGAATGACGTATGACGGTGAAATATGATGAAACATAGAGCATTAATATATCGTTTTAAAGCGGTTTAAGACACCGTTTTCAATGGTCAACATGCTTGCCTTAAGCTAGTATTAAAAACTAGAGAAATCATGAAACTACCTAGCTCAGTATCCATTGTTGATAAGAAAAACAAAAGTGACAAAGCTATGATAATTTATCAACATATCGTGAAGAAAACAACTTAACCTGGATACCTGTAAAAACTGCAGACAACTACTCCGGGCTGTGTTTTTTTCTTTTTAACTGGAATATGTTATTGTTCGTGGACACGAACAGCTATAGTTGCTTTGACTTTCAAAATTAACCAATGAAGATAATGGAGAAGGGGGAGGGGCATTCCTAAGTGTTAAATAGCCTTGAAGTTGAGACCATGTGACCCATATAGGTCCTAGTGAGCTATGAATACTCTGAAACGATTTCTGGCTAATAGCTTATTACGGTCAATATACTGTATTTTTACCGTATTTTATAGCAGCATGCATTGGTGCCTCTCAGGAACATTGGAGAAACTGAGTTTCAAGTTTTGACTTGAAACTTTGCATAGAGATAGATCTTAACGAGAATAGCTTATTGTAAAAGTTTCGGATTTTTCAATTACATCCATTCGGAAATAAGCATATCGAAATTTGCAGTTGTATATGAGCAGCGTGAAAAACATGTCTTGACCACATATCTTAAGATAGAAGCAATCCAAAGATCTGAAACTTTCACAATAAACTGTTCTCATTAAGGTCTGCCTCTCTGCAAAGTTTCAAAATGAAATTCGAAACTCAGTTTTTCTAGTGTTCCTCAGGAGCATCATGACATGCTGCTAAAAAAAATACTGTACAAATACAGTATGTCAATAGTAATCTACTATCAGCTTGACTTCTTCTCAAGGTATCCATAGCTCATTAGAATCTATATGATATGCACAGTTCCAACTCAAAAACAACTGGACACTTAGAAATGTGCTTTCGTAAGCATCCTTATGTTTTTCAATTAAAATCAAGGTAACAATAGGTGTCTACGTACACAAAAATATTTATTCTCCAGTTGAAAACAAAAAGCACCGCTAAGGATAACTGTCTGTATACTACTTGCTTCGAACTCTATATAATTTTGCAGCTTTCGCGTGATCTGTATATGTTAGGCATGCAACAAATTCCAATTTCAATTCGGAATTTGGATCGAATGATTCGGTTTCGCGAGATTCAAATGAATATTTTCTAATAATAAACAAATAATATTTATAATTATTTATCTTGATTATTTTCTTTAGCCTAAAGTACAACATAAAAAAAACATTCTAACTATTAACATAACATGAATAAAAAAAACGTATGTCCTTAGGCCAAATAAATATTGCAGTAATAATTTTGATAATTAAAACAAAATAAAAAAAAGTATGTAAAATTGTAGTTGAGTCAACAAACGACATAAAACATAATAATGATTATTATTAATCACTAGGAAGTATATCAAAAGCATCGTAAAATATATCATCATTATTTTGTGTACATGGAATTTCAAGAAGTGGAATTGTAAATGGCATTTTTTTCCATTTCTTTTTTAAAATAATTTGTTCTTTTCCAGTTTCTTTTTCAATGAGTTTTATTTTAATAGATTCACATTTTAATGGATATATTGGGCTAATTTTTTGATAATCTTTTAAAACTTGAATACAACCAAGTTCAGTACGACAATTTTTACTTCCACATAATGCTTTACCTTTGAAAATAAATAAAAGAATTTTAATTAATATTATGGCAAACAAAATGAATTACCAGTTACTAAAGTTTTCAAATATTCTTGAGGTTCAGATGATACTTTTTCTTCAATACGATTATAAAAATCATGATCACTAATAAAATAAGATTGTCCATGTTGACGAACTTGTGAAAGTTTACCAAGTAGATATCCACAAGCTCTACATAAGACATCTCCAATTAATTCAATATTTTTTAGCATAGTTGTTTCTGTTATTAATGTTTTAGTTAAACTTTCATTCCATTCTGTAATAAGAGATGTCTTTAATAAATAAACTTCAAATAGAAAGTAATAAAGAAAAAACAACGATATTCTTTTACTTGTTTTTTCATCACTTGTTCTTTAAATAGATCAGAAGAAATTCCTTTCCATGTTTCAAGAACTTCTTTCAAATCTTGTTCACATTGTCGATTATCTAATTCTTTCATATAATTTTGAGAATCTAAAAATTAGAATTATTTAGGTAAGTTTCTTTTTTGGAACTTTTTATAAGTATAGTTTTCTAGTATTTAATATATTTGATCATAATGTGTTTTATTAGCTTTTAATTTGCAAGCATGGGGTGAGGCAATATTTCTAATATCATTGAGATATTTTCACATTGATTTGCTGATAAATCATATTTTGTTGAATTCATATTATGTTTTTTTGAAGAGAAATGCAGTGAGTGTAAGTTGAGGTTTTGTAACTTTCTCTTCATTGTAATGAGAGTCAAAAGTCAAAATTCAGTGAATATATTTTCTCTGGCAACAGAGGAGGAAAACAGGCGAACGATATTGAGTCGGTTTTCATAGCAACTGATGACAAAAGGTGTTAGAACCTTTACCCAGAGTTCTTTAGCAATGGAAAGGAAGCATATCTCCGCATTTCGGCTATATCATGTCAGATTTAATAGTTCAATATCTTCTTTATTACTAATACTAGCTGTAGCTCTGGGCAGAAGATTGATTTTAAGCAGAGTTCTTATGCTCAATTGCTTAAGCTCTTCATACACACTAAACGTAACCAGAATGCTATCAGACTGATGATACGAGACAAATACTCAACAGTGGCTTCCCCATGATCATTACATGGGAAATGATACTGACGTTTGAGCCCATTTTGTGTGGATATGTATCAGAAGATGTAGTTAATCCGCCATAACGGCTACTTTAGCAAAGAAAGAAGATGCTAAATGCCATTAACAAAAAGAGCTAGTCTGTTCTAGGAAATTGTAGAACTTTTAGAAATCTTCTTCGATATTTGAAAGCTTAAAATACATTCGTCACTTTTCTAAATAGTGTAGTTTTTTAGTTTTCTGCAGTCGAACATTTATATTCAAGACATCAAGAATGATGGATGGATAATCATGCGTTGGTTTGTCATAGTCGTCATATAATTAGCATAAAAAACGCAAACTGAGCGAGTCATTACTTTAGGAAATAATCTAGAGCAATGTTTGTAAGTTTACCAAGTTATGTAATAGTGCTTTGAGATCTACTGTAGACATAATGAATATGTAGAACAGGCTTATTTGCCAGTTAAATCAATAGCTAGAATAATAATAATGTTAAGTTAAGAAAAACAGAATACAAAAATGAAAACTTCCTGTTTGAAATGCAGGAATAAATCAGAGAGATTGTTTCTTAGGCTATCAGATTTTCTTTGGAAAACAACTAGTCTCCTGAAGAGTTTTCACTAAACGTATTTTGCATTAGTATTATGGAGCTTTAGAAAAATACTTACAATATTTCATTTTTATTTCATGACTACTTCTTACATTCAATAGGAATACTCCTCTTAGCACGATCATTCCATGTTATTTCAAGCAAAAACGATTTTGATTACATGTAAACAGTATTTCACATGTTACATTCAATCTCAATGTTTTTCATTTTTATGCCTGTGATCACACCATTAAGAGGAGCAAATATTTTACTTTATTCTACACTATAGAAAAATCGTGTATAATAGCACTCATTAGCTTTGGTTTATGTTGAAACATTAGACAGTAAAAAATTCAGAAAAATGATGCCAAATAAAATTTATAGATATACATCGAAATAATGAGAGCTATGAGATACTCACTAAACATGAATTTGACTTCATTTTTCCGAAACTTATTTTTCTAATGTTTCAATCAAAGTAAGATTTAATTAATCCACACCTTTAATTTATAGGAATTTCTAGAGAGACAGATGAGTAAAGAATTTTCGAAACAATATTAGATCAACTGTAAAATTATATTCAGGATATATATACTAATTTATACAATAAATAGTTTACCTTTTGTAGTAATGAGATAATATGCACAACCAACTGTTCGTGCACGAACACGAGCTTGAACAGTTCCAATACTATCAGGAACAAACTAAAGATAAACTTCCATAATGAATTCGTTTATTGAACTGTTGACTTACATCATATCGAAGAACCAATGAACATTCAGGTATATCCAAACCTGCTTGTACAACATCAGTAGAAATCATTACATTATAAACACCTAACAAAACAATAATAGATTAATATTGAATGATATTCAATACGGTTAACCAGTTCGAAAATCATTTAATATTGAATCTTCTTTTTTATTGGATTTTTTAGAGTCCACACCACTTTGACTAACAAGCCAACATGGCTTAATAATGTTCTGTTGAGTATTAAAAATGAACAGATAGAAATTAACGAATGAACCAAAATTTTCAATGTAAAATTTTTGTTTATTTTTGGCTACCTTGAAAATGTTTCCGAGCAGTCAAAAATTACAGATTATGGCCAGAATGTTATGCGCTTTTCAAATGTAGGCTTCAGAGTTCTCTTGAAATAGTTTGAACGGAAAATATTTTTGCACACTTTTATACTTTCATTATTAGAACTCGAAAGTAGATGTTGACACCTCTATGAACATATCAGCTTATAAAGAAGAAGCTACTCTACAAAATGTACTTTTGGAGTTTTTCTCTATAAGTCACTTCAATTTTCATTTCTCTGAAGTCGTCGTTTTTTGAAAAATCAACTTTTTGATCAAAAGACGTTTTGTATGAGAAGAAGAAGCTCTTAGCAAAGTGCTTATTGTTTCTCTTGGGTAAAAGTCATAACTTAGTTCAGTATAAAATCATGTGAAGAAGTGTTTGCTCAAAAAACAACCGAGTGGAATATTTTTTGGCACCTTCAACAAGAAACTTCTATAGATTAGCAAAAGTTTCTTGATTGACCATTTAATTTAATTGGTTGAGTCTTAAAATATTCCTTCACTATTATCTGTTTCTAAAAAGAATAGCGGTGGTCATTTTTTGAATAAAATTTCATAGAAATGATAAAGAGAACTGGATTTTTCACCATTCAAGAGAGAATATCTGAGGCCATAAAAGTAAGTGGAAATCTAGTCGATCATCAAGTAACTTGTCAATTGAGTTCTTAACGACGATTTTGAAAAAGAAATTTCAAAATCACTTCCTAGTAGATATTGAATTTGTAATATAGTCAATCCGTAGAGAGAAGTTTTCTCTTATAATCTACACAAATCTCAATTTCGTAGCCACTTTCAATCAAGAGGTACAAGGGTCTTCCTGAGACTTCTGGTTTCAGTAAATTGCTCTTGGAAAGCTGCAAATGAAGTCCAGACGAGGGTAATTCATCACGCGGAATAGCATGTTAATGTTCGTTCTCAGTTTCAAAGCGACCTACGATCACTATTTCAGTATTTCCGAAATTTCCCTCACATAGCATAAAAGTCAAAGCTTTCAAAATGCTCCTTTAGTGGCCTTGGGTTATTTTGAAATTGAAAATAAATATAGTTGAGTTTTGCGTAGATTGAAAGAGAACACTTTTCTCTATCAATTGGCCATATTGCAAGTCAAAATCTAATGGAAAATGACTTCAGAACCTCGTTGTCAAAACCTTTGTTAAGAACTCAATTGACAAGTCAGTTGATAACCAATTAGATTTCGGCATACTTCGATGGCTTCGCTCATTCTCTCTTGAGTGATGAAAACTTTAGTTCTCTTTGTCATTTATACCAAAAGTTATTCAAAAAACAACAACCAGCTTTCTTTTTTGATATGACCAATAGTCTCGAACAAAAAAACTCAACTCAATATTTGTAATCTCACTTTCAAAGATACCACAAAATTCTGATTATCATCCATAATGTTTGGCTTGTCTGCAAGGCTTTCAAGCAGATCAAAATGAGCAACTATTTGTGCTAGAAATCTCTGCTTACACATTCCATTTAACCTCTTTATTTTTTGATCTTTCAAAGATTCTCTGACTATTGTCGAACAATAACTGAAATAAAATTTCTAAGCGCATTTTTTAGAAGTGGACAATATGTTGGCCATAGTTCATAGATTTTAACTTCTCGGGAACATTTTCAAGATAGCCAAAAGTAAAAATAATATTTTGACTCAAAACTTTCGGCCCACTCCTTATTTAACAAACCTTTAATTCTGAATGATTTTGTAAAAATTCACATATTTTCTTAGCATAAAACGTTCGTTCAACCAAAACGAGAGCTAAAATAATTTTTAACTTTTTATGTGAAACAAAAAAGACAGCTGAATATAAAATTACCTCGATTATTTGATTTTTCTGCATGTTTTTTTAATAATTCAACAACTTTATCAAGTTTTGGATTCGATAGTACTTGTCCAGATTCTTCAATTTCTGTTAATTTTTTCTTAAATAAATTTTGACATTTTTCATAAATTAATGTATCAATATCAATTGGATGTTCTCGACTTTTATATATCATTTCAAAATAATCTTTTAAATCGGAAAGAACTAATTCCGGTGTTAAATCAGTTAATGCTCTTAAATGTCGATAAATAGCAAGAATATAATTAATTAAAATTACAGATGAAAAATGTTGATTTTTTTGTTCAGATTGTTTTAAGATTTCAAGATTCTGTTCATATCCATTCATATCAAAATCTTTTTCAGGAAAAATACGTAATGGATTTGTATCTTTATTTAAAAATAATTGTAAAATTAAATTTTTAAGTTCACTTTCTATTGATAATCTTAATGAATCAAATGCTTTTTGTTTATTAATACATATAATTTCATCTTCAGATGTACGACTAACATATTGTTCAAGTTCTATTTCATTTTCTTTTTTCATTACTGTCGTAATTGTGAAACAATTAAATGTAGCACAAAGAACTGCCAAATGATGAGTTATTTGTGAAGAACTTGATCGATGAAGACCTACAAAACAAAAAATCAAATTAATCAATAGTAAAATGAGAACGTGCAGCGACAACTTTATTGATAGTAGGAACAATAGTAATAACATCTAGTGCATGTCAGCTATGCATGTCTCAGACTGGAAATAAAATGATGCTGTGAAATTTATATAATGAAATATCTTCAGAATGGAACCGAAGGCACAATAAACCTATCTTATAGTGCTTAAATCCAGCATCTGGAGAAGAGTTAAACGATAGACATTGTAAATAATTTTCTTAATCGAATTCTGAGATCTTTTAAAATGAATCAAAGATTGTGTATAAAGATGAAACATTATCGTTTCTAAAAAATACTACGTAGATTGTTGATCTCAGATTCTTGAAGATTTTATTGCATGATTCAACAAAGAAATTGGTAGATAAATCAAAATCGTTAGATGACAAATTATTACAGATTGGTGAAAGATAAGCACAAATGCTGAATCGAGATGGAATCAGATTGTTTTTTTGAATTGAACTGGATCGATTTCATCTCTGACAATTAAGCACAAGGATGATTAGTACGAGTAAACCTCAACATCGAAAAGTTAAGCACGCAAAAACATTTACAGGCGAAGGATGTGCGCATGAGGATAGATAGGAATGAATAGAAGACTAACGATCTCATTCACACTGATATATATTGATTGATCTTTCAATAGATATCATATTGATCTTCATTGTTCTGTATTCTTAAATTGATGATACTGATGTTTCCGTGTAGAGTTAGGTAAAAGTTAGAAAGTTTTTCTCAGTCAGGTTACATGATATGAAAAAAAACTTACCCTGCATATATCTATTTCTGTGTTTAAGTATCCGATTTGAATTTGCCGTGATTATCGATTCGATCCTCCAGCATAAGTTTCGATGTAGTTGGAGCTGAGATAAACTAGTCCGTCCTCCATCTTTTACGTCGTGTCTGTAAAAATTCTGAGAAGTTACCGGAAACATATCTGCTAAGTCTGAAAGAGCAGCTGTTCTCACTCAATTTCTGGCAGACAGACTAACTTCGGTCGTACGTCAAATTTGTACACAATTATAGTTCTAAAAATTATCGCGAGTTCTGTTCTCCAGTATTACATCGGATTGTTGCGTCTAGTGTTTTAATGTCTGTCATAGACTCAACATGTTAGAATTTTATTTTCTTGCTTTGCAACTAAACTTTAAAATCATATTTAATTAAAACTTTACCAATTACTGCAGTCAATCCAATAATAATTGGTGAAGAGCTAACAGGTGGAATATGAGCAATTTTTTGACACATAAGATATTGCATTATTCCAACATATTGATTACGTACTACAGTATCATGACATTCATCAAAACAGAGTAAATCAATATCAGATAAGAGAATTGTTTTTGCTTTTAAACCACTATTAAAATAAAAGAATTCTTTTTTTGTTTTTTGATAAAACTAAAATAAATTACTTGAGAAATTTTTGTGGTGTACAAACCAGAACATCATAATTGTTGATATATCGTGTAACATCATTATTTTCATCACATGCTATTATTCGAAGATTTCCTATTTGTTTCAATTTTTCTAATTGTTGTTTAAGCATTGCTCGACGTGGTACAATAAAAAAAGCTAAGAATTTCGTTCCATTTTCATTTGATAATGTCATCTTTTTGATTGAATAATATTTTAATAATAAAGCTAAATATTATAAATTAATTTTATTGCATTCGAGAGAAAAGAAAAAAAAGAAATAAAACTAACCAGCAACAAAAGTTTTACCACCACCTGTTCGAAGACATATGATTGTATTTCCTGCTTGAATAGCACTTTGTACTAATTCACGTTGATATTCATATGGATGAATATTTACATTAATTTTTTGAAGAAACTCATCTGACCATGAATCATTTTCAAATACTTTCAAATCGATATCTTCCAAAGATAAAGGTATTATTGGTGACTCAGGTTTAACAATCACAGGCTTTGTGTCAATTGGAGTATTTTGTTCATAATCTATACAAGGTAATCATTGACATTTGTCATTATAAAATAACGGGTACTTGGATAGTTTTTAGACAAAAATGTGTGTTTAGTTTTGCTCCACTAGAAAATATTTTTGACCAGTTAAAATCTATGAGTTAGAATGCTCTTTTTTAAATATGTGCTTAGAAATTTTACATGTATTTTTGCTCAAGAGTAGTTAGAGACTATATGAAAGATCTAAAAAATTATCTTTCAAAGTGATTCAACTGATTTTGATTTATTCTTGAAGTCTCTTTATTGAACATACTAAAAAATGTCAACATTGATTGTACGGTAGAATAGATACTGCTTTACAAAATGTGATGTCAAATTAAGATATAGCATTTATTCGAATGAGGCTACAAGAATTCTTTTTAAAATCTCCTTTCAGTATAAAATAATTGTCGATTTTTCAAAAAATGAAATTTTAGGAAAAACGAAATCTACAAGCTAATATATAAACGAAGATCCCAATTTCTTGTTTCGTATCAGAATAGTGAATGTACAAAACTTTTTCAGGCAAACTAAAACTTTGAGCTTTTCGAAGATTACTTTACTACTCTCGAACAAAATTTGTAAGCTTGTATTCGACACAAGTATTCTAATCAAGAGCGAGAGCTGATCCTGTGATTGTAGAATCACATGAAGTCATTGAAAGCAACAAAAGCATTTAGTGTCAATTGTTTTCCTTACGGTAGATTCCTGAAGGTTATCTCAAATCATTCTTTGCTTGCGTTTCAGTGATTAAGAAGATCATTCTATCTATTATGTTATCGATGACGGGTAACGAAAAATTTTGTAAATTTATCAAGGAACGGTTATTTTTCACCATAAATAAATACTTATCAAGTTTTATGAAAGATTTCCGAAGTTAAGAAATCAAACTTGTAATTCATTACTTTTGATAAAATTTTTGTTAAAAAAAAAACCATGATTTTCTCCGATTAGCTATTTCATGACGACAGAATCAAATCTACGAATTCGTTCGTTCTCTGTTGTCTGATAACGTAACGATAACTTCTGTTCCTTATATTGGTGACTGAAATAATTGGAATCACTCGAAGTCAGCTTTTCCTCTTTGATCTTAACTCATAATATTTGATTCGTTGGAAACATTCTCTAAGGAATTAAAAGTAAACAAACATCTATTCTAAAAGTTTTTCGATCGTCCCCTATTTCTTCCTCACCCGATATTATCATTGCATCTGATGCATTTATATCATTCCAGAATTCTTCTAATGTAGGAGCATTTGTTCGTCGATTGTCGTCGGTTGCAGCAGATGAAATATCAGCATTGCTGATTGGTTGACTGTTTTCCAATTCTGGTGGAAGTGATATTGAAGGAGAATTTTCTTTAAAATTCGATATTATGTTTATTAAAGAAAAACAAAAAAATAATAATAATAATAATAATAACGTACTTGTTTCAAAACGAGCAACTTGGTAAGCTAATGCTGTTAATTTCATGCGTGTTAATATTTCCACTAAATAATTACAATTCATTCGTGATATTCGTCCTCGATCAATAAGTATTGTAAAAATATCAACAAGTGGTTCATCTCGTTTTCGTCTTGGTATATCATCACCAAGTAGAAAAACAAACCTTTTACGTTCTTCAATGGACATTTCATCATCAAGATTGATTAATAACTCACGAAAATCAATATCAGACGGCATTTCTTTTTTGAATTTTTAAATTCATTCAATAGACAAATTTCAATCTAAAGTTTTATCACACTACATAAAATAACTTGTGAAGAAAACAATTTTAAAAACATGACGATTTTTTTTTCTGCAAAAAATTAATGAAATAAAATAGAAAACATGACAGTTTTTACATGATTTTATACAAAATTTTATGGATCAATACGAGTAAATAAACCTGATGAACATTTTGGTTTTTCAACTGGATTTTCAGATTTTGATGCTGATGAATATTGTTTTAGCTGTCGAACTAAATCCATACGTCGAATTTTTTCAAGAAGAAGAATAAGATAATCGACATTATCAGGCATAATTTTTCCTCGATCAATTAATGCTTCCCATATAATATTCATTGATGTTCTATTATCTCGAATTATACTATCAAGATCACGACGTGGTACATCATCGGTGAGAAGAAAACCGAGCAAAGCACGATCATCCTTTGACAATTTATCGCCAATGTCAATTAAAACAGTACGCAATTTAAGATCCTTTGGATCCATCTTAAAAAGAATATAAATATAGTTTTGGTAACATGTATGGAATTATGAGAAAGAATTATTAAATGTCTCTGGAAATTTTTATTTTTATAATCAAACTAAAGAATATTTTTCATAGTTTTAAATTATCTTTCTTGCTTTACTATTATATACTATTCAACTCCATGTCATTTTGTATTATTGCGTATTTGTTCTTTAATAACAAACATTTTATATTAACTTGATATACATTTATGACTTAATTATTTTCTAGAAAAATTCCAATAATTTTCCCATATTTTTATTAAATACATACGTATACCATATGTAATTTGTTATATTCGAAAGAGAAAGAATTATATAAGCTACAAAAAGAAAAACATATACTTTATTATATTTCAAAAAGAAAAATATTTCATATTATCGATAACAATTTTTATTTCACTTGTTTTATGTTCAATTTCATCTATTTTATTATAAACATCCATCATATATCTCGATAAAATCATGTAACAATAATTTTATTTTAGATAATAACGAATAGAATTTTCCTTGTCATATGTAAAAACTTTTCTTCTTGAGAAGTTTATTATAAAATAAATAAAATTTCACAATTTAATATTTCATTATCAAAGAACAATTTGAAAATATGTGCATTTACAATTTGAAATAATAAACAGATGAAAAGACTATGATGTTGACTATTGTCTATTCGTGTCTGATCATGTTGTAGCATATGAAAACCATTTAGTTATTACTATTGCAGTGTTGTTTCTGTATTACTATCAAACTTGGTCTATGAATCAAGAATTAATAGCTAACATCATTACTTTTTTTTATCTATTTATTATTTACTATTGTAAATGCATGCGCTCTAACTTCGTCTGGAGAAATTGTTGTCATCAACGAAATTTCATTTTCTCTTATAATAAACGTATAGCGAAGAGATTTCAAGTATATGAAATACCTTCGTTACACGACACCAGTGAATAAGACTATGTGCTTAACGATAATCTTTTTTTTTTTTTTCAACAACATTCCTTTCATCCATCGACATTTTTATCGTATATCTGGCTTACACTTGAAAATTTTTAAGGATTTTATTTTTTGATAATTGAAAATATGCAACGACATCCAATTAAAACAGTTTTATTGATAAAGATATTTGTAGAGATGAATTAAAACTTAAAAAATAAAACAATAAAAATTCAACAACTGTCTAAAACTACTAGATTATATGATATTGTTTATTTACTAGATACAATAGGTAAGCTAAGTTTAAGTAAAAAGACAGAAGAAAACATATTTTGATCATGTCTTTTTTTTTTATAGTAGTTCAACAAATTTTCGTTTGAAATTTCTTCTTTTCAACACCTTGCGCATAGCCAATATGATATACACCTATTCTTCATTTGTTGAACTTTTATGCATTGATAATTATCAAAAAAAGCTTTTAATAAATATAAATTAATTGAAAAATTAAAAACTTTTAGAGCAGAATTGATTAAAAAACCTAAATAAATTTCTACCAAAACGGTTTTATATAAGAAATATTTATTCATTAAATATTATAAACCTAGCTATAATGAATGCAGAAAAATTCGGAATTATTTTCAAATGCATTAATCATAAAAATTATACGTAACTATAAGAAAGACAATATTCAAATATTGAATATCTTCTGAGAAAAAGTTAAATACTGTGCTGTTATTTTTATAGAAACTAATCAGTATCTACTATAAACCAATAGAAATTGATTCGTAGAAAAGAAGAAACATAGTACAAGTCAAATACAAAAATAAATAAAAAAAGTAACATTCGGAATGTGCAGTATTGATATAAGTGCTAAACAATGAGTCATCAACACAGAGTCTACTAATTACATTAGCATCGATATTCGCTCAAGAATCGACATCTACGTTCACTGCAACATTGAAATATCAACTCCATCAAACTATGCCGGTTTTGTAGTAAAGCAGTGTGTTGCTTTAATGGATATTGTTGCTCATTTAGTCAATGTGCACTACTCATATTAAGTCTGTGATTAGTAAACTGAAACTTCACATTCTTAAACAACATAACAAATGAAAGATGATGTCAATAATTTAGAAAAATAATTCTCAATTTTCTATGATGTTTGTTATTATAAAAACTCATGTAAAAATACAAATGTACAGCTACAAGAATAATGCTAGATAAACAACAAACGATTATTAACAATGAATATCTACTTCATCATTATCGGGTATATTCATAATTACTATTCATATATCGGATAAAATAATATCGCTTTACAGCATGAGATAATCGCAGTATTACTATTCTATTCACACTATATGACTAAGAAAGAATTCGATAGTGCTTTTATATATCATAAAAGGAAAACTTTATTTTACTGAGATTTTAAGACATATTTCAATGAATTGTTCGATGATAAAGAAAGACTTTGAAGCAAAGAGTATCATCTAACTACTCTTCTATCAGTAATCTATCTTCATAGCACAATCTGAGCTTACAATAAATTCTCCATTATTTAATTCACGTGACCAATTATTATTTGATAAACACTTGTTCAGTAAAAATAAGCATACAATTTTCAAAACAATATTTTGACACATATCACAGAAAACAAAAATCTATAATACAGACAAGAAAAGTAAATATGAATATAGAAATTCTTTTGCTTTTATAGTATTCATTTACGAATAAGTTTAGCAATAATACAATAGATATAATAACAAAATGTAATCATATAAAAACTTAATCTAATTCAACTTTCACATTGTGCTAAACTTAATATTTGAGCATTCATTATAGTGCTTGGATCATCCATTAAAGGTATATTAAAAAATATTGTTAACCATTCATCACTAATAACAAAAAGAACATTAATAAAACTATATGTTACAAATTCTAATAGAATAAGTAGATTCAATATTTTACATTGTTTTATTAAATCTTTATGATCGATTTTTAATTTATCAAACGTAATTAGCTATTCAAAAAATAATAATAATAAAATAAAATATGTATGCAACTAAAAATAGAATAAAATAAAGAAACTTAACATAACATGTGGCAAAAAAAAATAAGCAATGCTGTAAGAGTCAACACATGAAAGTAAAAATGACCAGAAAACGTATTTCATTTATTGGTTCGCTTACAACAAATACAACAACACCGCTGAGATAAATAAAGAAACATTTGTTTTATTTTGATTGGTTAGAATTATAACCTATGTTGACAAGAAGTTTTCTTGTCTGTAAGTACTTCTTTTACTTATGACCATTCATTGTAGAATTGACACGTCTATCGGTTGATGTGTTCTCGTTATTCAAGTACACAATGACGAAAATAATAATTCTCTCAATTTATATTGTGATCATAAATTTTTATATAGTTTTAAGTAATGAACATTGTCCATTATCGAATAATAATGATTTAATTGATGATTGTAATTGTCGTATATCTGATTTAGCTGAACTTAATAATCAACGTCTTTATCCATTATTACATAAAATAGTTAATAAAAATTATTTTCGATTTTTTCCAGTTAATCTAAGAAAAAAATGTCTATTTTGGTCTGACGATGGTCATTGTTCACGTCGAACATGTGCAATAAAACAATGTCCAATTGAAAAATTACCTGAACCATTACGTGATAAACTTATTCATCCACCTGAACCATGTTCAATAAATCATAGTAATTCTACACTTGGATTAATTAATAAAAATATAAGTGAAGAACATCAACAAACAATTAAAACTTGGATTCAATTTGATGATGGACAATCAGAAAATTTTTGTGATGTTGATGATGAAACATCAACCGATTTAGAATATATTGATTTATCAGTTAATGTTGAACGTTATACTGGTTATACAGGTCCATCAACACAACGAGTATGGTCAGCAATTTATAATGAAAATTGTTTTTTTCTACCAGATTCTAAAATTTATTATGATCTTAGACAAAAACGTTTAAATGCAGATAAAATGTGTCTTGAAGGACGAACATTTTATCGTCTTATATCAGGTCTTCATACAAGTATTACAGTACATTTATGTGCACAATATTTTTTTCCAGCAGTTGGTGGTGGTTATACAGGTTTTGATGGACGATGGGGACCAAATTTTGATGAATTTAAACGTCGTTTTGATTCTGAAATAACCGATGGTGAAGGTCCAAAATGGTTAAAAAATATTTATTTTATTTATTTAATAGAATTACGTGCAATTTATAAAGCACGAGAATTTTTTAAAGAGCAAACATTTTTTACAGGAAATGAAACTGATGATTTACAAACGAAAGAATTATTAATGAATAATTTTATAAAAGAAATTGAACCATTTGCAAATTATTTTAATGAACATAATTTATTTCAAAATGGAAATGAATTATTAAAAGTTGAATTTAAAGAACATTTTCGAAATATAAGTCATATTATGGATTGTGTTGGTTGTGATAAATGTAAACTATGGGGAAAATTACAA